AACGCTCAATCAGCATCTCAATCGTGAATTTTCGGAGCTATTCCAACGCAAAATCAATAACTCGGACCTGCTGCTCAGAGGGATGTAAGCACTTTTTTTTGTGCTTCGCGAACACGATATGAACTTTTCGAGTTTCATTTTCCTCTCGAGGAATTGAGTAAAAAAAATTAGAGGAAGCATGTGGAAACATTTTTTATCGTTTTCTTCATCATCAATCACAAATGCAGCTCAAGCCATGGCGCCAGAGATTCTAGAGACCAGAATATTAATGATATCGAAAAACCGGACAAACTTCAATAAATGTAATAAAAAATCAGGAACCAGTTCAGTGGTCACCAAGGTAACTCGTACCACTCTCCCAGGAAACTGCCAAGTTCTACTGAAAAACTTGCTCAGACACATGAAAGTAACCAACTAGGTTTTTTCATTGATCTGATGTCTAAAGGAAAATTTCTGTTTGTTTTCTTTTTCGTCAAATGATTCCTTTTCCCATATTCATAAATGCAACAAACAAACAAACAAACTCACTGCTTCGAAGTCGGAAACGGGGCACTCGCAACAGCAATCGCTCGACTCATCAGAAGAACATTCTTCTTCACAGCAACAGCCAGACGATGATTCGGAAGAACGCGACGCGGCACTCATCATTCCGCAAAACCAAACAAAGAATCAATCACTGACGAAAAAAATTGACTAAATCGTGCTCCAAGTTCAGCAAGCACGCCTTCGCAAAATACGGTAACCGAGATTCGGGTCACCTACGTTCACGGAGAAACGTTCCATCACAAGTGAGGGCCTCGAAACACTTATGGCTTTCCTCCGGAGTTAATAACTGTCCATCATTATAGTGTCCCAGGAAAGGAGAGGAAAAAAACTGACCATTTCTTACGACACACGGTCGGTCAGTGGGAAAAACGGGGAATTATGAAGCAAAAAATGGGGTTTCTCAGCAGATGCCAACTTGAATACGAATGTCTTGGAAATGCTATGGTGTCACAAACGTCAAGTTTCTAAATTAATCCTCGGGCGAACTTCGAAAAAATGAAGCTCAGCTCAGGTTACGCCATCAATATTGTCGATTTTCTGCGCGAAGTGGAACGATTTCCATCCGAAACTAACTGAAAGATTTTGCCATCGAACTGCTTCTCCAGCAAGTTCTGACGTAAAGAAACATGAATGGCATTAAGACGTTACATAATGAAGGGTGGTGAAATAATATCTGTACTGAAATATGAACTACCGAAGAGAAATACGGCACTTTTCTACGTGATTTTCGTCAGAAATAAAAACTCCAACGAAGATCCGATGAACCAAAAATGCTTCAACGAATCAATTTTCTACAATTTGGCATTCTGAAATTACAGTACTGAATGCTCGATATTTTAAAATTCTGCGAATTAATCGGAAGTACTCAATCCAGTGCGGATGGATTCGAAACTAGTCCTTCCTTGTTTCTCATAGCGTAACATTTCAGCAACCTTCGGATCTTTCATTTCCGAATTCAACCTAAGTAAAAAAAGAAATTATTTTGAAATGCATCGAAGCAGTTTTAGAATGACTGACGATGAAAACGAAAAGAAAAACAGCACATGCCCACGTAAAATGCAAAAATCTTTGTAGAAACACCACTTAGTTTTTAGCTCTCGCCTTCATCGCCGCAAGTAATCAGTATCCCACACAATTGATTAATCATTCCGTAATGCAATCAGCCATTGCGCGACGAATTTCCAAGTGGTGCAAAATTCTAAACTAAAATTACCGGCTACATGAAAAAAGAAAGTTTATATCAATACTGTACTGAGTTCAAGTCACGCTAATTATGCTTAGAACGTTCAATCCTCAAATTTAAGGCGTGATGTTCGCGGCTAAAAAAATGCCAAATTTAAAAGCAATGACAAAACTCAAGTTTACCGTATGTAATGTTTTGATTCCGGCGTTGAGTCAAGTCATCCTCCTCATAGAAGCAAATATTTTGCAGTTAAGAAGAAGACCGATTATCCGCGCTGTAATCGACCGATCCGATTAACCAATGAGTCAGAAGCTTGATTCACTGCGAGATTGATCCAACTGCATTATTTTTTTGCCGTTATTCCTCCCAATTTAAACATGAGACACTTTATTTCACTCCGATTCATCGATCATCAAGGTTGCCGACCTTCCTGATTTAGACTATTATACAGAGGATGGCAGCAATTCTACTCGACATCATGCTTGACCTCGCAAAGTTAATCAACCTGTCGAATAACATTTTTAAATAGAGAACTGTAGTTGATTACTTGAACATAAGTTTATACTTTACTTTTGACATTTGCAAGCTGGTGCATACAACACTACACTTTCACGCGATTAATCAAAAAAAGGTCGAAGTACTGTACTGTACTCGTTTGAGGACATCGACTTTCAACAACTTGTATCAACTGAACTTCGCCTACTCGCAGCAGCAGCAGAAAAAGAAAAAAAATTGCGATCCAAAATTTGCTCAAGGACCACAAGGACGGTAAATTGCACAGCCAACTTCACCCCGAGAAGACGCAAGACTGTGGCCGGCCGCTGATGGCCAGGAACCAGTGGCCCACTAAATTTTTCACGGGAGACTTTCCCATAACTGGGCACGCAATCGGAAATCTGGACCACGACAGACGAGCAAAGAGGCGGGCAACTCTGGGCTCGCAAATGATCATCACGCAAGTGATGTGCGTTGGTAGCCCGGGTAGGCAGTATGTTGTCTACATCTCTTCTTCGTTTTTTCTCGTAAGCATGAATGACCAGTAGTACTGCTTGCCTCACGGGAAAGCTCGCACAGCGAAAGACCAGATGCCTGTTTCTGCACAAAGCAATCCCAGCTGTTACGCGAACGCATCGCTTGAGAAGTGCAGTAGGACTAAAAATTGTCTGTGGAATGGGTCATCCACATTTTTCAATACGGTCCTCGCTTTTCTATTAAGGTACGCATGAACTGAGGGTCAAGAAATCAGACACAAATAATACACGTATACAAAGGCCTAGACTCGAACCGAACGATGAGTGTGAAATTCTCAAATTTGTTTTCTGAAGAGAAAAAAAAAACTTCCGAGATTACGTTGTAATAATTAAAATTAGACTGAAGCAGCTCCAATCAATAAATTCATCATTTTCTCTGCTAAGAAGAAAACAACTGAACTCGAGTTTATAAGAAATAAAAAGACTTGGGGCACTCACAATTTTATAAGAAGGTACTCTCCCAAATCTCTGTAGAATAAAGATTAAGTGTTAGCCTTGTATGATTTCTCCACAAAGATTTTTTCCAAATTGTTTACTCAGTTGAAAAAAAATATCTGGGAACAGACTGAACATCCTGTATTTGAATTTGTGTTCAAGTCATTTTGCTGTGCTGTGTTGCTTGTCATTTAAAAAAATTATTATTTTAACGCATTCTTGTGCACTGCGGGTTTATTTTCTCTAAATTCTCACAAATGTTATGAACGCGAAAAAAAACAACAAATAAAGCTTGCACTTCACTTATTCACTCATAAAGCATCGAAAATCCGTTGGTCAATAGCTGAAAAGAAAATATCCTTCTGAAAATATAGAAGATTGATTCCATGGTAAAAGTTTCAATTCCGGAAAAGCTTTCACGCTGCATTTGTTTCCATCTGTGTGTTCGCATAACAGCTGGGTTTTACTTCTGCGAAAAACGGCATCTCATCTTTCGCTGTTCAAGCTTTCCGTGAGGAAAGTAGCAATACTAGTCACGCTCACAAGAGAGAAGAAAAACCTTCCATACCTGTCTGTCCACGCTATCAACACAAAAGACTTTCGTGATGATCCTTGGCAAGCACAAAACAGTCAGATTTCTGCTCGTCTGTTGTGATCCAGATTTATCATACAGTGAAATCTCGTTACAATGCAGCAGCTTTTGGGGCGAGGAAAAATGCTTCCTCATAATGATGAAATCGTTAGAAAGCGATTTGAATAATAATGCTACTATTTCGCAGAGACCTCAAAAACGGATTCGTGGCAAACAATAATTCGTTATCACGAGATTCGCTGTAATGAGCTGCTACTGTACCCAGTACCGGTGGCTCTGCGTAAATTTCTAAAATGCTCAACAGAAATTCAAGAAAGTGAAGGTGAATAAAATGTGTTGTATTTATTATTAAAATTAATCCCCGAAAAACCATTTAAAATTCTTCCAAAATTCGGTCAACATTAGAGAATAATAACTATATTTCGGTCCTGCGTGCTTTCTCAGACAGGGAATTTCAATCGGTACAGTTGCCAAGTGCGTTCAAAATTGTTCTAGCAGACAGAAGTTCTAGTTCCTGATAGACGTGTGTTGAGTAATATACAGTACATTGAAATCCTCTTAGAGACAAAAACCAAGCAAAGGTCCTGCAAACGTGGTATTGCACTTTCGCTCAGTGGTTCTCCCATAGGGTTTTAAGTGCTTCTTTAAAATGGCACACTCTATAAAAATGGCAGAGAAGCTTCGACCAAAACCTTGAAGTAACCTTCTCAGACATGTATCTCAAAAATTTCACTCAGGGTCCCTCGTCATCAACAGTTCTTCAAAATAATATCCACATTCTCGTCTTTCCTTTTTAGGATCTCAAATGCATGTCCACAGGATAAATGACTGCAGCAGCACCAGGACTTCGTAACGGTCGTTTGGACTCGGTTTATAGGCCTGTTTCCAACGTCAAAAAAAAAGACAAATCCTCTCGGAGACGAGGAAAAACTGTCAAGTTTCTGGATGTGGAAAGCGGATCATGTGGAGGGACGAAGAGGATCGCCGCAACGATATCGCGATTCGGTCTGATTCTCGCAGAAGGTGCACACGAAAAACGCCATCGCCGGTGTGAACGAGGTCGTAATGGATTTGTTCTCCGGGTATCACTTCTCGATGTCCAGAGAATCAAAAAGGAAGGCAAGAAAAACGACATGTACTCTTCCTGTCCACTCCAGAAAAAAAAATACTGCATGAAGAAAAATCTCAGCTTTCCGTCATTGTTTTCTGCGTCTCAGGAAAGGAGAGACTTGGCCACCAAATTAATAGCAGTTCGGTTGAATGTGAGGAAAATAACAGGTGCGTTTGGCAAATACGTCTTTCGTTCACCCAAAAATAACTAAAAATACATAATAAAAAATCAGAAATCATGAAGCTGGTATTACAGGAGTTATACACCTCCATTTCTGTGTATTCGTGATGCGGAACATCTAAAAACCTCGGATCACCTTCTCCTAATTCACGTTTATTACTGTACTTCTGTCTGACTCTCACATGCCGAAAAATCTTTGGTGCCAGTTCACTACGCGGCCTTTCTTGCTTCAACCACATTCATACACCGCAACTGACCACCAGCAAGCGGCCAACTCATACCTAACTTGCGTACGACATTCTTCTCATCGTACAGAGAAAATTAGGCGAATGATAAACAAAACTGCTGTTGAAATTTCGATAACTCGAACGTCCCCAAGTCGAAGATCTGCCTATGTCCATTTCTTTTAAAGTCCCTCTCCGAATTCTCTTGGAATTAATGCATTAGAAACCTATCTAACTCATAAGGCATTCCCACTCAAACATTGATGACTCGAATTTTTAGAGGCCTTTTTGCTATTATTTTCATGGCACTGGAATGATAAAAGCAATGCAAATGCAACGATGCGTTTTGAAAGGAAGTAAAATACTAATTCGGCAAATTAACACTTGCCTCCAACTTCAGCGTCCTGTTGACCCATTTATTCTGTAACGTCAAGCAAAAGTCAAAAGTTTTCGTTTTCGAGTAATTATACAATATTTCAATGAAGCAAAAATTGGCAGTTTCCCCAACTTGAAACCTCTTTGATTCGTATTTTTTGGCTGATTTCTCCAAGTATGACTTAAAGAGGTTTCACACTGGTTCGATCTCAATCGAAGAATTCGCGCGTGGGAATTCTCAGCATCCACGAGAAAGCGGCGTCACCTGTAGTTTGGCAGACGGCGAAACTTCACACAGTATACGACTTCAACGCGCGATGTCGCGGATGAATTTATCCACGTCTATTTTCTCAAAACCTTTCTCTCGCCAATGTTCAAATGAACATTTGTGTTCAAGGAAAGCCATGCAAAACGCAAAAAATGTACTCACCTTCGTCGATTCGAATTTCCCCATCCGAAGTCCACCGGGATCATGCGTCGCATCTCGCTCATCCAACAAAGAATTCACGGACCTTCAAAATTCGATTAATTTGCAGTTACAGTATTTTAATTCAATTTTGCGGTAGAATAAAACTCGAAAATAAATAAATAAATATATATATATATATATATATATATAAAGACAATAAATATAAATATTGACAGCATCTTTGGAGTCTTTGTTAACGGGTCAATTACCTGCCAACTTCGATTGATATTCAAAAATTACGGTATATTCAAAATTAGCTAATCATCTCCAACCCCGTCAAGATACGTTGATCTGCTGTTTTAGATCTTCCTTGGCTATGCGTGAAGATATAATTTCCTTACTAGTAAATTAAACCCAGAATCTTGAGAAAGAAGTCGGGATCCCTCTGGATTTTGTGCGGAAATCATGTAAATATTATTATATGTAGACTTGAGAACCCATTCACCATCATCAACTCTGACGGCTAATTATTTGAAACGAAGTTGAACCTTTCAGTATTCATAGTTTTTGAAATATTTTACTGCACTGTGTTACAGTGAAAACAATACAGGTATTTTCAACCTGCTTCGGCATCTTTTTCCAGAAATACGTCTTTTTTATTAGCCACAACATTCATACTACATTACCAAGAATACATGCACAGAATGAAATAAAGCAATTCAAAATTTGTTAATTCTCATTTGATCTGAAATACATTTATTATCTTCTGTAGTTTCAGTTAGGTTGTTTATGCTTCATGGAAAATCTGTCCGAATTGTTTTTTGGTCAGCCTGCATATGCAGTAGAAAACACGCCATTGAAATATTGGCTGAAACATACCGCACTCAAAACCTTTACAAGCAATAACATACCCAGATAAAGTATCCTGGCTGTACTGCGTGGATTGTCCCACAGGCATTGGTCTCACTCCATGACGATCAACGCTATTCATCCCAAGCTGAGACGTTGGGTAGATTTGGTGCAATTCACCCATGCCATTGGCAGATCGAGGGATCGTCAACCCAACATCAACAGGTGCGTGTCTACGAAATTTTAAAATAAAATGCCTTGAAAATTACATAAACTTGAATGGCGTTCATGAACACTCAATGCCCTTAAACAATATTTCGCGCTTATTTTCTGACTTCGATCGAATCTAGCAATAATCCCATGCTGAAGCTTTTATCCCCCACACATTGAAAATAAAAAAAATATCGATGGGCGATTACTGCAAGAATTCGTTCCATTTCAGGGCAATGCAACAACCTAAACAGAACACTTGAAAACGGTTTTTTTTTACAGTAAAAATACTGTACATTATTTACTGGAGTAAATAAAAAAATATCCGAGAGGAAAACGCGCACCCCATTTTAGTGACGGAAAGGTGGCAAAATTTTGGTAATAAAACTCATCAGAATTCAATTGTTGACTTGAATTTGACCCAAGTAAAATTCATTTTCTATTCGTTTTCCGTAAAAATTATTTCTCAAAATTTCTTACTAAAACACGTATGATGGCACCTAAACTCCCAACAATTTGAAATGAAAATGTCAATCCACAGCCCCTTTTTCCCTCCAAATTCCGAAAAAAGGTGCCCGTGGTACTTGCGTAAATACGGTAATCTAACTTCGTGCATGTATTACACCGAAGTGACCGAACTGACGTACAAAATTAGGAAAATACTGTACAACCGAATGCTACGGAGACGCATAAAGAAATTTACAACACTTTCCCAGGAACATTTTTTTAATTCAAACGGAAGGAGAACTAAATTTACACTTACCAAGGAAAATTTTTTTAAAGTAAAACAGAAGGAAAATTTTAGATGTGCAGAACTCATTCTTTTGTCATCGATTAATTTTCTAACGTACCTTGAATGTTGTGCTTTTCATAGATTATCCGCGCTGGTCTCGAAGAAATTAGAAATGTGCAAATTGTCGGTAGCTAGCACAATGATGAAAGAGTGAACAAGGTAGAACAATGCCATATTGCCATGCCGCACAAGCAGAACTACAGTATTAGATCGGTCCTTTTGGAATTGAAATTAAAAATTATCAGGAAATGGTCAACTATTAACACTTCAAGATACAAAAGTCATCGGCTGATGGGGAAAAGAAACTGGCTGTGTGACACTTTTTTTCATTTTCTGGGAAAATAAAATTTAGTCAGAAATGTTAGGTTCCTTGAAAGTGAGAATGCCGGGAAAGTGAGTGAGTGTGTATATTAGTCCATCGATGGAATTTCAATTTTTTGCATGAAAAATCTAGGGGGTGCTTATAGTTGAGTAAATACAGTAATCCGAAGTAAATAATTCAAACCTAACCTTCTGGCTCAAGAAATGAGCGGAAAGGTATAGTACTGCACATGAATACCGAACCACAGTAGCTTCAAAAAGAACATTTTCATCTCCTCGTACGATTTCGTGAAGAAAAGCCGAACTCGTGGAGCAGATAATCTGCTTTTAAAAACAGTACCTTCCGAACAGAAAAGGAATCGAGAGCACGAACAAAATGCACAAGACATCTAGAGAGGAGTCGGCGATTCGGTTGATCGGAAAATCGGTGAATAGAAAAATCACATCGCAGTTGGTAAAACCGCAAAACGTGACGAAACCGTACGGGATGTCTCAGGATGAAACGCAGAAGAAAAAATCCTCCCCATCAGGAAGTGTTGTTAGTTACGCTTGCTAGTTCCTGGCCTGTTAAAATCGTTGGACCATTAAACTGGCTATACGAGGACATTTCAGCATGGGATTACTTTAATGAAACAGTTACGACTTACGAAGAAGAGTAAAACAGCGTCTTCAATTCTTAGTCGTTTGAGTCGACTACGCGGCCGGAACATAATTCGGGAGCATACAACTGATGTATAAAAACTCACCTATAGCTGTGGTGAACATAATTTTGCGGCACAGGATTGAAATCGGTTTTTGGAAATTCGGCAACAACAGGAACATTTTGTGCTGAACTCAACGCATTACTACTTCCAGGACCTTCTCTACTTGGAACACGTTGCTTCTGTCGACAATATTCCCGAAATAAATCGGTCGACGTCGTCATCACCGATTCTTGCTTTGGTATAGATTCATGATGAACTTCGATTTTCTCAGCTATAGTAGGCAATTCATTCACTGGATTTTCTTCAAAAAGCCGGTCCACTGAAGTATTCATGGATTTCTTTCCTGTCAAATGGAAACTAGCGAAACTTCGAGACATCTTTTCTAGCTCAGCAGAAAGCGTGGAACTGGGGCCAGATCCTGTCTGCATACGAATATGTCCATCGCCACTAGCCAAATTCAGAGAGCGACTCATGATGTCTGCACTTTTCGACCTCGTATTTGGAGTAGCAGAATGGGGGAAAATATTTGGTTTGATAGGAGTAACGAGCATGTGCTCCGTCCACGAAGTCTCCAAACTAGGCTTTTCCAGTCGCTCCACATCCACATTTAGAGTCTTTTGTTCAAAAGGACAGCCAAATATTTCCGCAGGAATACTTTGTAACCACGAAATGAGACTGAGGTCGGAATCTGAAAAGCCCGTTGTTGTGAGAAGTTCAGAAAATTGCATTGTACTGCCAGTTGCAGCAACATCGCCGCTTGAAGTCGCTTTTTGTTGGCAGAAATCCACGCAGGATTCGTACAGAATACCTGAAACGAAGCGACGTTTTGGAATGAATGAAATTTGTTCTTCTGCCAAGGTGAAGATATGCAATGCACACTTCGGAATAAGAAACTGTTATAAAATTACCTTTGATTATGAGCTGAAGAAGCCGATCACTCTGCGAAAATCGCACGGGCTCTGCTTTGGGATCACTCGCCAAATACTTCTCCACCAGGGGTAGAACCGAGTTGAAACATCTAATTCTGGCTGTGCTCGGATTCCAGTCCTTGAAATCCACTTGCTCGCTCAAACGATTTACAGTGAGAAGTAAGCACAAAGTCCCGTATTCCTCCTTAGAAGGACAGAATTTTTCCAGATCATTCAACACCTTGACGACTTCTTCCACGGCTTCCTCCAAATTGGAAGCATCTGGAGCTTCCAACTTTATGCACAGTAATTCTACGTATTTGTGCTTCAGTATAATGTAATGAAAGGCATCCTTGGAGAATCCTGGGATGGATTCCAAGGGCTGAATGAACTCGAGCACATCTTCCCATTGCCCGTCCAGGATGAGCTGGCGCAGAAAGAGAACGTCATCGGAGTAGGCTCCGTTGATGACACCAGTCTCACGCTCAAGGCTCACTTGAGTGATATGAAGATCACGATTATTCAAGAATTCCAAAGCTAATTTGATCACATCTTCCTCCTTTAAACTGAGGTGACCCGCAGCAACAGGCATCTCGACAACACACGAGACTTGAGATCACGTCCTCAGTAAATGAAGACAGCACGAACATTCTATATAGACACAATGAATAGATGAACAAAAATTTCAATATTTTTGATACACGCCGATTGAACAATACTACGAATCGTCAATTGAATCTTCAGAAATAAATAAGGGAATAATTTAAGAACCTTTATTCCTCAAGATAAGGATTCACAGACGACTCGGAATGAAAATAAACATATTAAACATAGCCGATCACTGGCAAGAAGGTGTTTCGGAACTTATGGACTTTCGCCGGCCTACGTGAAACATCACTATCGTTATTCCGGAAAACAGTCATTCAACGTGTGATTTCTTTCATGACGGGATCGTAGGTTACATATCTGCCAGATTAGAGCTGAGGAGTTCTGTACTGTCCTCTTCAGAAGGCGCGCTATCATCGACTGGCCGGGGATTTCGCCGCATACCAACTAAACACATACAGGAGCTCCATAAAATGGGCAAATCTTGAGAGATCCGCCGAAGGTTGCTAACGTGAATCCCATTTCACGACTTATGGCGTTACAGGTTTGATTTGGTCTATTTACGCTTCTTCGAGCTTATTGGATTCTTTGCTTTGGAAAACCAAATGCAAACGCGGGAAATTTGCAACTCGAATAGGAGTCATTATACTGTACTCTCCTTGATATGTGGTGGCACCGCCTGGCAGACTGCCAAGAGGGTGGATAGCCACGTTAGTGTACGTCTGCCATGGATGGACGCCACTGTTAATTATCAAGACAGCTCTGTGAAAGGGAGAACAATGATTTGTACCTAGGTGGTGACCCATTATTGCAGAAAAAAAGTGGGTACTTGAGATTTCCCATGGTCAATTTGAATTATTAATCATGCTGGAAATGCAAAACTCTGGAAAAGGCTGGTGGGGCACCCTGTGGCATCTTTGATGACTCAGCCAGCCTTGCCAGTTGGTTAGAGTGAACTTATCCTAAATTTATCCAAAGCAAATTTTGTCCAAAAACTTGTCCAACTTTGGCAAGATTCTGGGATAAGTTGCTTTGGATGAGTTTTGGATCCAAAACAAGCATTTTTGTGCTCACTGGGCAAGAATATGTCAGATATTTTGACCATACCATGCACATTATGGACGCTGCTCACATATCCAGTCATTAAACAAAAATTGCAAATTTTTAGCTCATGTAAGGTTGTCGGAGTATATTGAGTTTGGTGATCCAAATGGGGTTGGGCATTTTCATGTTTATACAAATGGCATCTATTGAAAATTACCCAGAAAACCATGCTACAGACACCTCCCTCTTGCCTTATTGTGGATTTAACCTGCTGTTTCTCAGAATCTTCTTGCAGGTAATTTGTACCACATTCCTATGCGCATGGGAAACACAAAATAGAAACCTTCTCAGGGGGTTAAGATCAGTCTGGGGAATGCAAAACCATTTGGCTTCAAAAGGCCTATTCCTTCCTACTCTTCTATATATTTCTTGCAAGGTTTACATAAAGTATTAAAAAGAAGCATTGAAAGTTGAAGCTGTGCAGAGTCACAAACAAATTGTTAGGTTTTGAAGTCGTGAAGTTTGAGCGTTTTTTAAGCATCACTTTTGGCACAAAAAAAGTGAAGAATGCTTGCATGATATTCCAAATGAATAATGTATAAACTTGACTATAGGATTTTAAAAATAGATTTTTAGGAAAATAATCTGTAAATAAAGATTTTTTAATGACAGATTTTTGAGGGTTCAAATTTATTGCTTCTTAATTTTTCCATGTTTGCTGGACTTGTTACTCATCCTGCTATAAGCATTTTGGTGCATTATTTTAAAGTTTTGTTCACAAATGTATCCATTAAATTATGCAACAAACCTAATTTATTTTTAGAATAACATGAAGATATGCTGCTCCCTTGCTATGCTTGAAGCAATATGTTACTCTTGGTGCAGAATTTCAGAAATTCTGGATTTAGAAAACTACAGTATTTAAACGTCATTGGATCACTAAGAAAATAATATGTTTGTTGGGATTTGACATTGGCATAATTTCAGGAAAATTCTCAAGATTGCTTTAGATTTTCAGCAATAAATAAATTGCAGAGTAACCTAATTTATAAGCACATTATAATTTGTTTCTGATGTTCCTTATATGTGATCAACATTTTTTGTCTTTTGAAAGGTGCATGATGGAAAGCACTTGAAACACATTTTTCTTGATTTATAACAATTTAAAAACACAGTATTATGAATAATCCAACCACTCAACAACATCCAAGCCATTTTTGGATTCCCCTTGACAACTTGAAGAGTGCAACAAAAATTTGCCAAAGGCAACAGTCCTGTAATTTTTCCATCTTCAATATTTTCAATGCATTTTTCAAAATTGTAACCAAAGACAAATTTGTAATGCTTTGCCTATTAGAACATTAATTGCTTTATTATGTTCTTGGATAAAATTTTAAGTTTTCCAAATGCAAAGGTATAGTGCTTGTCTTCTGCTCAACAGGTGAATAGTATGGGTTTTTCATTCTGAAAAATATAAAACTTTTTTGGAAAAATCCTTGGATTCAAAAGAAAGGGTAGGCAGTTGTATATCCTCTTTTGAGGGGCAAGGTAGAGAAACTGAACATTTGAATTACTAAGTTTTCATTGTGCCATGAATTTTTGAATTATTTTCTGAAATATCATCATATATGCTGAGGATACTTGTCAGCCCTCTTTATTCAAAGGAATTTTTCCAAAAAAAAATTGGACACTGTTCAACTGATGTTCATCCGTTGAGTGAGCAGAAGACAAGCTCCATCTTGTAAATGTAAGAAATGAATCCAAAAGTAATACAGTATAGAATTCTGTGACAACAAATCTCATTATAACAAATTTCTCATTACAACAAATTTTTGGTGGTCCTGGCAGTTTCCCATAGGTGGAATGTTATAAAAATTTTGTTATAACAAAGTAATTTTAGGCTGTAATCTTATTATAACTAATTTTTGGGCATGATTCTGTGCCCATACAGAAATTACTGAATAAGTGGCAGAAAATGTAGAAAAAATTATAAGCTATACAATTGAAAATTCACAAAAAAAAGAAATCTTTATGAATAGAAAACTTGGTGTCCTAAAAAATGCACTCCAGAACATATTTATGGAAATTCTTTAGCTCATCTATATTTGAATGTATGCTTTTACAATTCAGCAGTATCTAAGAAGAATGTTCCTCTATGTTTGAAAGAGCTATGGGTGAATAATTTGATTGAAAAGGAAGTGCAGTATTTTTACCATGTGTAATTTTGTTTCTTTTTATTTTTGAAGACAAGCAATACTTTATTACAAATTTTATTTCAATTAAAGGAGAGTTATACTGCATTTATATCAAGGGATTTCTCTTCATTTCATCAGAAGTACTTGAATTATCTGTTTTAGAAGCATTTTAAGTTTGTATTCCCCATTTCCTACTAAATTCCAGTCTAAAATGTGCTAAAAATCATTAATCTCAATATAACGCATGTTTTTTATAACGAATTTTTTACTGGGTCCCTGGGAGTTTGTTGTAACAAGATTTTACTATGCATCATTAATGTTGAACAAAAAATAATCTAGTCGAAAAATTACACATTTTCCTGGGCTAAAATTTTATAAAAATGAAAACAAAATATTAAAAATGATGAGTTGTTGCCTTTGCGAAGTTATTGTTACTGAGTGAATGCGCGTAACACCTGGCAAGCACTTGCGTAGTACACCACAGGGGTATACCACCAGTTGAAAAGCCCTGCATATAGCAAGCAATCAAAAACAGTGTCTATGTGAATTTGGCGGTCAACTTTGTAAGGCTCTTTTGAAAGGGCAAAGCTTTGTGTAAGAATATATTCCCTCTGGAGCAAGAGTCAATGCTAGAGCGCGCCTGTACTGAAATTGGATGCAGGATGCACTTGTTAAGGGATCCCTATTAGGCACTTCATATAGCGACATCTATCCACAGCTTTTAGCAACCGATTCAACCAGTCTCATCGTCCACCAAGACGTCACCGGAAGCAGGTTCACTGGATGATGGGAGGAGATGTGTTTGAGATCCAAGGAGAGGAACCCTGGAACGTTTTTGAGCCTTGACTTAGTAAGGGCCTCCTATTGGAACCCCTTAGAGCGACATCTACTACCAACAAAGAGAAACCTTCGTAGTCTGATCACTTGCCCACCTGAGTTTAACCAACAGGAAGATGGTAATCTTGATCGGAGGAGATGCAATAAGGTTCTTGTAGGCTTTCAGTAACTTCGACACACGTTTCCTTCTTTCACACGTCTTATTTCTCCAGAGTCCCAATCTTCATAACCACTAACACAATTCAATCGTCAAGAGATTATAAAAGAGTCCCCCCTTCCGATCCGCGCGCCGATATGACACGTGGAATCCACGTTGGATCTCGCCGACACGTGGAGCTTGCGGTTCGCGCGACTGCCGCTAGGTGACGCTCGAGTGTGTAAGGGGGTGCCCTTACTCTCCCCCCCCCGGAAAAGAGCGCGGGTTACGAATTTTTCTCTTTCGGCCCGCGCGAGATTTCCGCGTGGAATATGTATGGTCTTTCGCCACATTAGTCGTTGTGGTCTTCAATGATGTTGGTTTGCCATATGAATGGTCCAGTTTCGAGGTCCTTTGCTGCTCTGTCGGTGCTAGCTGGGGTTGCATTGCATAACTGTGATCCGGAGCCATGATGACAACGTCTTTCCCTGATTCTGGATCAATGATGCCGAGGTACTTCTCGAATCCTGCTTCTGGTGGACGTGGTAAGCCCCGGTAGGGCACCATCTCCCAGGCATGCACTCGTCGTATGTGTGGGCCTGCACCCACATGATACTCTCCATTACCTTGATAGGAGAGCACCATGAAGGGTCCGATGCGTCTCACCCGGAAACGCCGGTTTGCTGCGTGTTGATTCACCGTTGGTAACCGGGGAAAAACTGCGATTAGTTCACCTGGTAGGAAATGCCGTCCTTTACGTTTATTAGCCTGCTCGATAAACCTCTCCCTGTAGTCTGCGACGTGTTGCTGGAGAACCTCCGGGGCTTGCTCTGTATTAGAAAAGGATATACCAAATG